GAAATGACAAATGATATGTTTTGCTTGATTGCTTACTTGCTTTTAGCTTTATAGTTTTCAGTCTCTATTGACCCCAGAAGAATATATGTTGCATTCTGTTTCACAAAATAGTTGCTAATGCTGTGTGACCCATGAATTCAGAATGGCTGAAATGCTCCGTAGACATGTCCAGTAAATGATTTCCACAGACTCAATACCTCCTTTTGCATTACTCATAATGATTTTAAGACGTTCCATGTGCATTAGTTCTTTCCGGGCTCCCATCCACAGTCCAAAGACATGTATGTCAAAGTAATTAAACATTATAAATGATTCAGCAACCTCATAGTGCTGAATCATTGTCCTGAATTGTAAGGTCACCTTACAACAAAATGCAACAAGAATAATATTAAAAGAGATTTAGGAATAATATGACTGTAAAACATATAAAGCATGATGGTTATAGCTGACACCCTGATGAAAACAGAGTCTAGCTGATGAAGGTGAATGGTAATAAGTTTGAAGCGAGAAGACGTCAGGAGAGGAGCTGAAGCTGAGCGTAGGCCAGGTGATGGGGTGTACGCATGAAGGACGTCTGAAAGAGATAGATAGATAGATGGGCTTGGACTTTACTGAAGTTCTTTCAGGTCATTTACAAAAATGTATGTCTATTTTCATTTTTACTTTCTTCAGTAGGTTTTAGTGCTGGGACACATGCAAAAATTATAAAATAAACCACTTAAGTTGGTTATCTAAGAGGAGAGTGTGGCTTTGCTGCAGGACAATATCAGAAAGAACTGGTTTTTGTTGTTGTTTTTTAGGGCTTTTGATTTCTTTTTACATTTTATAAGCCGACAGCGTGAGTGAAAAAACTTCTTTCATGTTCTTGAGCAGGAATATATCTTTCTTGTACCTTCTTAGACTGTATTTTAAATCCTGGAGCATCACAAGCCAATGGAACAAAATGTGCAGAGAACAAATATTCATGTTTTCTCAAAGCACGGAGTAAACAAACAAGTGTTACTGTTTACTGATGACGTTTTATGTCATATTTGTCTTATATTTAATAAATGAGAGTCGTTTTTGCTTTCATTGTTGTTTAATGCTCACCAGCTACGAAGCTCCCCGATGAAATATTGCTCTGTTGTTTGATTGGCTGCTCAGGCCTCTCTGCTGTGCTCCCTGGAGAAGGAGCTGAGGGGTCACCTCATTGCAGAAAGCGTGTGCACAGACGGTCTGTTAACAGACGAAGGCACGCAGACCTACAGCTTTCTGTCGGCTCCTTTCCGGAGAAACACTTCGCTGGCCGACCTGACGGCTGTCAAACCGCTTGAGCTGCACCTTCAGCTGCAGGTGGAGAGCGTCACCAGCCGACATCACAAGGCCAGCTCCGCCTTCACCTTCCTCTGTGGACACACCTTCCAGCGCAGAGAATATGGCAAACATTATAAGTGAGTTGTTTTTTCTTAAATATTTAGGTTTTGCATCGTTTAAAGAGATTAAGACCTGAACAAGAAATACACAAAGCAGTCACTGACTCAGAATGATGCTCTAAACCCCATGTGTCTGGCATTACTGTGAGATCAAAGTGATCTATTTCCAATAAAAAATGTTCTGTCGTGTGCAGGAACGTCCACAGTGATATCCAGATGTGTGTAAACGGATGGTTCGAGCAGAGATGCCCGCTCGCTTACTTGGGATGCAGCTACAGCCAGAGGAGATTTCAGCCCTCCACACACGAAGCCACCATCAGCTACAAGTGAGAGAAACCACAGAGTTCATCTAAATGTAAACAAATTTAACTGTGAGCTGAAGCGTGTTAGAGGGGTACAGGGTACACTTTTTCCGCACACACGACACATTCTAACTGCACTGTGCCCCAGTTAAATTTCTAATTCACTTTTTGAGCTTTATAAACAATTAAAAAAATCTATTCAGAGTTGTGTAGAAAAGAAAAAAGCTCTTTATACAGTCATGTGATAAAGAAAGTTTACACAGGAGTGCATAGACTCCTGTGTAAACTTTCGTGCTGGCCAGAGAGTAACTGCAATAATCTGAAAAACATTTGCAAGCAACAGTGAAGTACATTTACTAAATACAACGTCCTTTGTACAGATGAGACCACAGTGGAGGTTTGGCAGAAACTAAGCAACATGTGAGCACAAACACCTCAAACTAACTTTAAAGCACGGTGGTGGAGGAGCGATGGTTTGCGCTTATTTTGCAGCCAAATGACCTGAGTGCACGTCAGCCACTGACTTGAACAAACAAAACCATATCAAAGTATTCAAGAGTCAAATGTGAGCCTGGGTCATGCAACAGGGCAATGATCTCAAGCGCAGCAGCAGATCTACAACAGGATGGGGGGAAAGAAAGTACTTTTGCAATGACCCCGTCCAAAAACTGATTCAAATGCTGTGGTGGGAACTTAAGAGAGCTGTGCATAATCAAGCGCCCACAAACCTCCATGACACAACATTGTAAACAACTTGGGAAAGCAAAGATTCCTCCACAGTGATATCAAAGTCTGATAAAGTCTTGCAGAAAATGATTACTTCACGTTATTGCTGCTAAAGATGCTTCTGAATCTGAGCTGCTGAATCGTGGCGCGTGTAGATTTTTTTTTCCACACTTCTCTTTATGTCAAAGTGATTCGTGTAAATCTGCAACAACTATTTGTAACCACTTGAGGGCAGCAGAAACACACTATCAAACTGACTAGTTAAACATTTTGCACATAGTTATCCGTTCACATATCCTGCAGATGCAGAGCACAGCTGTCATGTTTTGGCCTCTTTGAGTAATATTTTCTCCTTTTGGATGTTTGTAGCTTCTACAAGCACACAAATACACTATCTGTAAGTTTAGCTCTTAATGCTTCACTCTGATATTTCATTGCTTGCAAGGTGTCCCTGATTTTGGTTTTGGGCTGTAAAATTGAAAGCATCAAACTGAACAACGCTTCAGAACTTCAGTTAATCTTGTATTTCATCACAAGTCACACTTTTAACATCACACTTCGTGAAAATAACAAATATGATGCATAAATTAACCTTAAAGCTACTATAAATTTTATTTTAACAATCTATAACTCAGGTCAGAGTCAAAGCATTTTAATCCTCTGCAAATAAAAATCCAATACTCTTTCAAAGTTCCCACAGTTTCGTCTGTACTTTCAGCGAGGATCTAGGCTGCTTCAGCCTGATTCCCACCACCTCTGTTTGCCTGGGTGACAATTCCCAGACATCCAGGAGCACGGATGCCTCCACCAGCTTTGCTTGGAGGAAGAGAGGCATTCGAGTGGGAGGAGCGGACGACTCGCTGAGCTTTCTTCCCTACGAAGTGCTGTGCCACGTGGCCAGTTTCCTGGACAGCTTTTCCCTGTCCCAGCTGGCAATGGTGTCCCACCTCATGAGGCAGGTGTGCTCCTCTCAGCTGCAGGAGAGAGGGATGGTCACCCTCTGCTGGGAGAGGAAGACCTACTCTCATGGAGGAGCCAAGTGGAGGGTGAAGCAGAGGGTAAGAATGGAGCCACGCTAACAGGACTCACAGTAGACATAATGCGAGATATTTCATGTTTATCAGAATCAGAAAGACTTTATTTATCCCCAAGGGGCAATTAAGATTAGAAGTAAATATTAGAAATAAAGGCAAGAATACAGCATAAAAGAAGGAAGATGTAAGGGACGAGTGCAAGTTTGGCTTTGAGCTGGAGGCACAAGAAATCAGATGATTGTTGATCTTGTTGTCATCATGTAGCACGGTTGCCAAGTGATGCTAGATTTAGTTTAGAAAACACAACGCTGACGTTTCTTACCAGGCTGTTTAATTGTTGAAGGCCAAAGAAGTAAGCGCATGCAACATTTCACAGCAAAAAGCAAAAAGTCACTGAATGAATGCAATTTAACATCTTTGTAATCATGAGGTTTTTTTTCTGACTTCATGAATCACATAATTCATGCTGTGACCACTTGGAGCAGATTATATTAGAAATATTGACTTCACCCTAAAGAGCACCCTTATCTAAATATAATTGAAGCAACTTCAGAATAAATAAAAATGACAGATTGAATGGTTTCCCAGTTTGAAAAAGCAGAGGCCTGCAAATCACCTCATTTTTTAAACTACTGTAATAGTAACCATTCTGGACAATCAAGCACTGAAAGATTTAATGTGAAATAAAATGGGAGATATCTCTCCCCCTTTTGCAATCAGGACCTTATATTTAGTTGCATCTCCATCGCTGTTCATCACTGCAGGTCTGGCAGTTCAGTACCTTGTTCTCTCCGGTGGATACGTGGTGCTTCCAGGATGTGCTGCCTATCTCAGAGCATCTAAAGGTGTGTCGTTATTATGAGAGGGAGTCCAGGACGGAGAAGATTTACCTGCCACGCATGCAAGAAGAAATCCAACACAACACAAGCTGCAAACCTCCCACTCTGGTTACCATGTTCCAGCAGAAGAGAATCATGATGTAGTTCACTGTAAACTGGTCTGTTTGGGGGTTTTATTGCATGTTAACTTCTTTCCCCCCTCCTTCTATTCCTATATCTCCTGCCACTGCAGTTCACTTTAAAATTACAGGAGAAAAATCACAATAAATATAAAATTAAAGCTTACAGAGATAAGTTTTGGAGTCACATGTTGAACTGAATCTTAGAAGTTGCATATATTTAAAAATGATGTCAGAAGAGCACTGAAGTTAATTTTAATTATAAATAAATAAATCAAGCTACAGATATCTGCTGTTTTTATTCACACGTTTCTTTTTCATTCACAGATGCTTTGCAAATGGTTATAAACTGAAATGAGAGGAATTTCATGACTAAATAGTATCACCAAACACTTTATCTTATGCATCCACATTTTATTTTATTTTATTTTGTGTTACGCCTGTAAACAAAACATATTTGCTTAGTCCGTTGCATAGAAAATGAACTGCAAGTGCAGCGTTAACCACGTGATGAAGTAGAAAACGGATTCAAGTCGCTTGTGCAGGAGTAACACAGCTCTGCTTCCCCCTAGTGGTTCTCAGTGGTATTGCGCATGTTTTTGAGGATATCCACTTTAAACATTTTATAAAACATCGCCACGTTCATGGTGGAGATGAGACTCAGGCCGGCGGCCCCCATCATCAGGACATAACGAGGAATGTGTTCACTGTGACGGGCCAGCCAGCGGCTCATCCAGCCCAGCGTGCAGGCACGAAACAACAGAAACCTGCAGATGAAACAGAAGAAACAAGCTGACAGATACCAGTCTACACTAAAGTCACCATGCAAGGCCCAGACAGTGAAAGCTTGGTATTCAGTATCTTGCTCAGTATCTGAGATATTGATGGGGGAGCAGCTGGGATAAAACTGGCACATCTGTGATTATTGGACAACAGTCTCAGGCAGATAAACACAAAACAGGCCTTTCAGGAAACAGATTAAAGAAGTAAAAGTAGAGCGCAGATGGTTTCCTGAAGGCCTCACAACTTTAAGCTCAAAAATTCTGGTTACACAACCAATTATTAGGTTTAGGGGGAAGTTTTTCACACAGGGCCACATCAGTTTGGACAGCTCCCCCCCCCCCTTAATAAACAAAGCCATCATTAAAAAAAATTAATGAGGCTTTATGGCTATGTTTGCATAATATTAACATTTATTTGATGTAACATATTCAAAAATGCTTCAAAATGCTTTTAAAAAGGTGTTTTATGATCTTTTCCCACCTCGCATACAAAAGATCATTTCTTCCTGCTAAAAAGAATTCCTGAACCACCTACGTTCCCAGGTTGAGCCAGCTGGTGATGCTGTAGGCGAGAGAGGGCTGAGGGGCGGTGAGTTCAGTGCCTGGCTTGTTCCTCCATCCTGAGAGGACGAGGAGCTGTCTGAGATGAAGGAAAACAGAGTTGATCTCTACCAGCAGAGACATCACTGCAAAACCTAGATAGAGGCGGGACGTCACAGCCAAACCGAAGCATGAGATCACCTGAGAGAAACGTTAAAACAGCACATGCAAAGAGACAGCAATACAACACTTTATTTACACGTTAATCATGCAAAAATCACAAGTTTTAATCATGGAAAATGTGAATTAGCTCATTTCAGACCACCCAGAAATGAATGTCAGTAAGTGATATATAGAAACCTGGTGGACCACAATTAATAAAGGCTTTATAGCCTTTAATAATTATGAATTTTTATGAATGAATTTTTACACACTATCATTAGTATTTGGAGGATGAATTTCAGGTTGTCAAGCTCCACCAGTCCCCTGAGATCAGCTGATCTGTGCCAGCACACACCAGCTGATGGCTCTGCTGATTGATCTCATAATTATCAGTTTTATATCAGATGTTATTGATGCGCGCTGTGAGGCGACGCTGCTGCCCTCCCACTATTGAAAATAATACAGCAGGAAATAACAGAATGACAACAGAAGAGAGTTTAAAATGTTACTAAATTGCTATAAATAAAGTTTGGTAAAAGAGTTATGCAACTTAACATTCTGCGAGATTTTTTTTTTTTTTTTTGCATGAATTTAATGAATTAAGTATCTGGATAAATTAAAAACAAGCCAAACTTGATGAAGGAAAATATACTGTTGGGTAACCTCAGGAATGTGGTGACCCACTCTGAGAAAACTGGACGCAAACATATAAAACTTGAACCTTGAACTTTGATCAGAAAAGCTTGTGCAGGATTAACTGTTCGCCACGTAAAAATAAATAACTCATTGTGTATTTGGATAAAATAGAACCTGCATAGAGATACTTAGCAGCACAGTCAGGAGCAAACGCACCATGACACACCATGTGCTGCCTGAAAGCAGGTCTGCTGTATGCGCTGACAGTAAAATCACAGCATAGAGCAGCACGACTGAGGTTTCACTCACTGACCTCGTTGTTATCACCCGGATATGGGATGAGTGCTATCACCAGACTGACTCAACTATGTGCTTGTGTTCTCAGATTACACACTCAGGAGATGAAACAGTACTCAGATCCCGTATTTTAAATGGATGACAGAAATTAAGCTTATGTAAAAGTTCAATAAGGAAGATCTGTAATCACTCATCTGCCTGCTTTCCTGGCTCTTCGGCTGCTAGTCTGTTCATTTCATTACTACCACTTTCCCACGCTGGCTTCCTGGCTCCTTTGAGGCGATCAGCCTCCTCTCTGCGTTGTTTAAATCTGTGATCTCTTTTCAGACTCTCATCTCTCATCTTCACTTCACTCAACTCAGTTTTCATCTTCACCCCCACCAGCATCTCGACTCCGCAGGGTCTTGTCCAAAATCCTATCAAATCCTATCCTGTGAATAGCTGTACCACTCTACCTCCATATTCAAAAATGTAAAAAACAAAACAAAAAACAGCTCATTATGATCTCTTATGAAGTCATAATTTTCACTTACATTTGTAAGGACAAGGGAGAAGTATCTTAAGTATCTTATTAACTGAGATAGATGGATCTATTATTCCCTGTTTTTGTGTAAAATAAACTGATGTGTTCCCGTTACAAAAAGTGTATGTTGGTTCATGTTTTCACACTGTGTTAGCAAAAACACACCCAAGCATTAGACCCACAAAGGTCATTACCAAAGAGTGGTGGAGGAGTAGATCCCAGGACTGTTTGAAGGGCTGGTTCAAGGCCATGTCTAGGAAGTCGTGGATAAAATACCCTGGAGGAGATGTAGAAATATGTGTGCAGGCTCATGTATTTAAACAATGCTAAAGTATTAAACTGCTATCAAGTTATTTTTTGAAATGCAATGTATACACATTTGCATGTGTGTGTGTGTGTTTGTGTGGGCATCACCTGTGGATACAGCTACAAGACTGTGGGAGTGCAGGGAGCAAAAGGAGATCAGGTCCTCCATCATCTGAGGGTGACGGTAAAAGCTGCAGGGCGAGAGAGCCCACAGGAAGAGTGAATATCGCACGAGTAGAAAACAAACGTCCACACTACTCTGGCTGCCGCGCGCCTCTACGAACCATAAAACAGCCCCCGCTCCTGTCAGGCAGCTGTGAGCTAACGACGTGCTGACATTCCTCCATTTCCAGGCTTTCCTCTGTGCCGGCTGCGGTGTTGGCAGGACTCTGATGACTGCATTGAGCAGTTTGAAAGAGCCGGCAGAGCCTCCAGTGAGCAGAAGTGTTGATTTCAAATCCATAACAATAGTTGAGCGGAGTTCACCTCACGCATGTCCAGTGCATACCTCAGTGGAAACACGCTTTATGAAAAGAGAGCATGAGACGCTTGTGTCACTGTGAGGTCACTGTTATATATCATATATTGTTTCTAGTCTCTGCCCTCTAACACACACCAAGTGATAAACTCATAGCTGATAGTAAAGGGCCGTGGACACATAATGGTACGATTGCCTCTCAAGGAAAACAACCCTGGCTTTCATAACTCACTTTCGCTTCATCTTTATGACATCTTTTCAGCAGTACTGTTAGGTCTGCTGAACAGTTCAGCAGCTCTACTAGCCCCACACACATATGTACACACACCTACACAGCTCAGCTCCACACTCCTCACCCTAAGTTAATGAACTATGGTTGGCCTTTCTGTTGTCTTTTGTTATTACTGCGCACACAAAAAAAGGCCATTTGTAGACTTGAGTAGAGTGATTTAGTGGAAGTCTCACAGCAGCCTGAGACTTTGGCAGAAAGGTTATGGATGGTTTATCATTACGTGATCCTAACAACTATACACCCCTACGTGGTTTATAAATCTTGTAGGGTGATGATATATTTTGCGCATCAATCTAATCCAACAGCACTGCCATGAATGCTACTTAAGTTTTCCAACAACTGTGATCCCAACAATGTTAAAAAAAGAAACGTTTTGTGAAAGCCGAGTTGATGACAAACTTGATGTTTGCACCGGATGTTCTTAATGAAATTCCTTGTGGCACATATGGGCTAAAATCTGATAGACGTGCAGCCTCATGTGTGAATGTGACCACAGTGCCTGACTTCAGTGTTTCTGCTTTAGAGTGAATTATAACCACCTGTGGTTGAGTAAGTGTTGCTTTGTCGCCCCTCCATTCAGCGTTCAGCCTCGTCAGCCTTTCTCTGTGCTGCCGTTGTAAAAAAACAAAAGAGCAGGGTCTCCTTTCTCTGCGACAATACGGCGGCTGAACATGAGCCGCCACAGTGCCCAAACTCTCCGCTCACTGCCTCACCGAAGACACTTTCCAGGGTGATTAGAGCCAAATCATCTACTTTTCACTGGACCAACTGGGATGCAGGTTGGGGATGGACTGGTTCCCTTGGAAATGGACTCCCATTGTTCAGCTGCTGAGAGGAAAGCAAAGTGACGCAGGACTCAAATTGTTTCCACCTGAGCGTCTGAATAACCTTTAATGTCCCTGGGGTTCGCCTGGGTGTCTGCGAGCTCTTACAGCTGAATCACAGAGATGTCGACCAAGCCGCGTGAGTAGCCTCAGCAGAGTGGTGTCTGAAAGTAAACTGATGATCATTCATTTGATGACTCATTTATTTATCTATAATGTGTTTGGGCAGCCCGCGGAGAGCTCACGGACTCTGATTCAGAGAACCCATCAGAGGAGCTGACAGAGGTGGTTTGTCTGGAGTCAGACCTGCAGGATGGACAGTAAGGAGGGGATGGGGAAGCTGCAAACATACACCTGTGTGTTTTAACCACATAAACACTTCCTGCTATAAATTTTAAACTGGTCCCAGTGTGACATCTAAAACACTTGAATGGTTTATAGCAGGGATGTCAAACAAAAGGGACAGGGACCAGAAACGGCCCGGCAAAGAGTCCAATCTATTTCGTTTTTGTTGTTGTTTTTTGTCCTCACAAAAATGGTTAATTTCTGTGAATAAACCCTTTTTTCTATTATTACTGGTCAGTCTGAGAAATTAGACTTTTTTTTTTGTTATTTTCCAAATTTATTTCTTACAATTTAAGCTCAAAGAGTCTTGCTGAGAGATTTCTTTCTTTGCTAAAGCAACATTTCTTGGCCTCTCTTTTTCTTAAATTAAGACATCTCAGGGATTAACCTTCTTTTCTTTGACATAAAGGGGAATTTTCCTTGGGGCTGAGCTGTATGTACCTCACAGTGTAAAACGCATTTGACCACAAAAAACCCTTTATTTAGATTATTTAGACACTCTGTGGGGTCTAAATGACAGTGAGGGTCCCAGTAGATGAAAGGTCCGGAGTGAATATATGTCTGTGCCATCTGGTCTAAACTGTAGATCAGACAGTGAATACCAGCCTCATAAACGCGAGCCAGAGACACTGGGGCTATTGAATCTGTCTTAAACCCAACAATACTACGTCGAGTTTTAGTGAAAATACTACCAGGAGGCCATGTCATTGATTGTACCCTGTCAAAAACTCCCCAAGGTTGCAGTTTTATCAAAAAAAAATACAGCCTCTGCTGGAACAGGGGAGGGGTAAAAGTGATTACAGTTTATAAGGAGGATAACATGACCACCTTGTCTGTGTGTCCACGCCCTCTGGCTGAACTGAAGCTCTGGTTTTCAGACTTTTTCTGGTACACCAGACTTCAGAATCAGAAAAAGGTTGATGGACCACAGACTACAGTTTTCATCGGGCGCTTTTTTTTTTTTTTTTAAATAGAAAAGCCCAAAGTATTCAAAAAATATTTATGCCCAAAATGGTAACTTTATGTAATTTGATTACATGTAAATTTTTGTGCATAATTTTGTTGTATAAGTTCAATCTAAAACATTACATTTAATCCAATCTGGTCAACTAACTTACTTGATAGGTGTGCATTCAGTTTATACCCATTAATGATGAATTATTTTAACACATAAACCTTTGATTTTATACATTTCAGGTGCATTTTACTTTAAAAAAAAATTTTTTTCAGTCCAGATAAAGCCATCCCTGCAGACACGACGCTTCCACGGCTGGAGGAAAAGACCAAGTTGAAGTGTTAAACAAGCTTAGATGTACAAACAATGAAATTTATCTTATTCTAAAAAATTAAAAACCTCTGTGTGCGTGTGTGTGTGTGTGTGTGTGTGTCTGTTATCTCAGGATGATGGAAGTTGAAGTCGGACATCACGGTGTGCTGCTGACGCGCAGTGGGGGTAAATACAGCGCCATTGGGAACCAGTGTACACACTACGGCGCTCCACTTAGCAAAGGTATGAAGACAGGAAGTCTGAAGAGGAATTTCTGTGACATAGATGTATTTCAGTCTTGAGTCAAGTCTGGGTGCTTGTGTGGGCAGAAAAGTGTCATTTAAGGAAATTTACCTTGTCTGTGCACACTGTAAGCTATCAGACTGGTCTGAGCTTCATATGTGTTTCTTATGTTTTAATAATTTGTCTTCATCTTGTATTTTTCTTGTGCAAATCTTTGTGTGTTCAGGTTTTATTTCGGGGAACAGAGTGCGCTGCCCGTGGCACGGCTCCTGTTTCAATGTCCACACAGGCGATCTCGAGGAATACCCCGGCATCGACTGTCTACCTTGCCACAAAGTATGAACCGGAGAGACAGACTGAGACAAAGCTTATGAGCACATCTGCTGTTGTTTACATGTTTTTATTTTCTCTTTTGAAGGTCCATATTCAAAACAGCAAAGTGTACGTGTCCATAAATAAAAAGGTAAGTATGTTACCTTTTCTGTTTTAGTGATATGAGGCCATTTTAATCTCCTGGTATCAATCTCTTCAGCGAGGAAAGAAGGCCATACGCAACTAATTCTGAAAACCTTTGTCACTGAACACACATACCTTACACAGCTCCCCGCTGCATTCATAAACACTAGTTAAAACCCAGCTACAGAAGGAAAGAGAGACTGAAATTATTGCCAGGGAGTAACTGTGGGAGGGAGAACCTGGATGTTTATGGTGGAGGCGATAAACACCAGTTGATGACCTGACTCCAACATAGCAGACTCCTGGTACTTCTGCAACCCAAATCTGTGACCCACTGAAACAGTTAGCACATTACAAAACTTAACAAAAGAAGTCCTTTGCAGTTGAAAACACAGATTAATCAAGAATGGGGAGCATATTGCTTTAAAAACTAAAACAGTTATCATTTTGTTGTTTTTAAAAAGAGGCGATGCTACAAAGTGGGATTTCCCTGCTTTTCTTAAGTGTGACGTGTCAATAAATTCATACTAACCACATTTTCCCCTTAAAAATCATTAAAATATCAGGTTTTATCTTGTTAGTTCATCACTGACACAAACTCTTATGTTTTATTTTGATTCACATTTTTGGAAACTAGTTTGTAGCTGAAAGTTGCAGTGAACAAATGCACTGAAGGGCTGTTTCATGTGACTGGCTGATTTGATTTGAACCTAAGAAAGCAACCGTGAGTGTATTTTTAGGCAACTGAAATAATATCCCATGTATAATTTTCTGTTTGTAAATATCACTGTTGGTACCTACTGATGACCTGACCACGTGTTTGATCCATGATTCAGACTCTCAGGCAGGAGAAAAGGATAAAGCGTATGGGCACTGCAGTCCCAGGAGTTACTCACACTGTTCTGCTGCTGGGAGGAGGTGAGTGTGGACCAATATGTGTGTGTGGTTGTGTGGCTTCAATAGGGCACTTAACTGGCATCTTCCACCATGTCCTCTCAACAAATAAGTAAATGTAACAATTTTGCCTTGGGATTTGAGTAAATGTGTCAGGAAAATAAGCTGCTTCTCTGATCTTGCAAAAAGGTACGTATGCTGTACATGGATACGTGCAGGTATTAGATTGAGTTGCCTCTAATGTGCTTCCTTTGTGTGTGTGTGTGTGTGTGTTGTTTTGTGTAAGTGCAGGAGCCGCTTCACTCATTTGTGCTGAGACGCTGCGGCAGGAAAACTTTGGTGGCAGGATCATTATGGTGACCAGAGAAGACCTCCTACCTTACGACAAAACACGTCTGAGCAAGGTTCAGCACAGCGAATAACTCGACACAAACACATGAAAGTCTCTTTATGAATTTCCTTCACTTCACTGGAGTTTCGCTGATTTCACAGGTGATGAACGTGGAGAGCGACAGCATCCTGATGAGGAGGATGGAGTTTTTCCATCAGTATGACATAGAGGTGTGGCTCAGGAAAGAAGTGAGTACTTCCTGTATGACAACATCCTTCATGTGCTTGCATCTGTGTTTTATCTCATAGACATTGTGACCTTGAGGTAAATCTT